ACTGGTAAACACTTAGAAAAACAGCAGGGGGCCAAACCAAAAACAATTATCCGTTAAGAAGAAGGTCAAGGAGGCTGAGACTGACATGTGGAGAATTGGCATGATTAGGAAGCCCGCACTAGTGTCTATGAAACATTTAAGCAGGAAATTGCCAAAGAAAGGGTCTCTGATAATATTCGGGGTAGTTCTCTACTGTTTGAGGCCAGGACGGGAGTATTGCGAACCAAGACATATCGGGCCATATACGAAGGGGTAGACACGGTATGCAGTGCGTGTGGAGTGGAAGAAGAAACTGTGGAACACTTAATAATGTTTTCAAAGGGATTCACCCTATAGTTCAGGATGATGGCGCAGAGTTCTTCAAAGCACTGGGGTTTAGGGACAGGGAGGGCAAGATAGACTTCAAGCAGGTAGAATTAACCAGAAGAAGGTTATCTCATCGGCGGCTAAAGTCAAGGCATAAGTGAAACCTAAACCCTTCAGTGCAAAGTGCGAATCCTCAACATCAGTATTTAAAGGGAAAAAATAGATCTAGTTTTATGGTTCATTAAATATTACGGCTTGGTGGTGCTAGCCACCACCCGATCTAAAGCTTACATCCATATCCATCCATCCATCCATCCATGACGAGACTTGATGCGCTCGTTCGCCTCCGCTGCACGCTCGAGGCACCCTAACGCAGCGCCTCCAGAATACTATTCACCAATTTTTTTGCACAGAACATCAAATAAATGTTTTCTTCACTCTCGCCACATGCAAGACTATCGTATTTTGATGACATTTGCAGGTTAACATGCAGATAGATGGCCATTTTTTGTTTTTTTTTTCCTTCCTGCACCTGCTCTTACCGGCTGTATGTGTTACTTCCGCGGCGCGCGGCTGTCACGGGTATTTTTTTATTGCTGGGTTCTCTATAGACAGGATTTGAGTCAAAACGCAGGAGCGCGCCGCCTATATGCCGTTCGTTATCCGGCAACTGACTGGGAGTGATGATCATTCAGGCAGTGTCTGCAATGCAGAACAACCTAACCGACACAGTAGCGACGCTCTAAACTTTAATAGGTAACAGTGTCTTCACTGTGTCTACCGAAATACAGCAACAAACTGAGCGATACATGCAACAAATGCGCCGGAGCTCACCCCTGCTCTAAAACTCGCACCAAACACAAATCGTTCCAACCCATACACACGCCCTGCGTATCTTAGAAGTGAAGATCGCGATGCGTAACCCGTATCATCTTGTGGTCTGGCAATGGAACTGCAGAGAGTTCCGCCGCAAGCGGGGCCTTCTGCAGAAGTACATTGCCATTACCTCAATGGCTCCCCACGTCAAACTCCTTCAGGAGCCCAACTGCATCCCCTCTCTTGCAGGTTTGAAGTGTACGGTAGCGATTCGGGTCTAATAAGGGCACTTGTGTCTAACCGTCTCACAGTACGCCTACATTCGGTCGCCATTGACATTCCCCATCAAATTATAGAAGCAATCACACACACCAAATGCAGCGAATGTCTTTTCATTCTAAATATTTACATTTCTCCTCTTTCCCACACGCGCAATTTTCATTACCTTTTTTACAGAATTTAGTAACCTTGGTAATACGCTGTTGATTTGCGGAGATTTCAACGCAGCGCACTCGGTTTGGGGATATCCTAAGAACACTGGAAAAGGAACAAAAGTGTGGGACACCATATGCATTAATTGCTTCGCGATGCTCACTGATCTCACACAACCAAGCCACGCCGGGAATAGCGTCTCGCGAGATACGTGTCCCGATCCCACGATGATTCGCGGTACTGGCGCAGTCAACTCAAGTGGTTCCTTATACGAAACTCTTGGAAGTGACCACCATATCATCGCAACCGCCCTTCCTCATGACAGTTCGCACCGGCCTGAACGTAATGTTCGTATAATAAACTGGGATAAATTTCTAGAGCTACGGACGGCCAGTTCAGAAGTGGATGGCTACGACGACTCGCTCGCGGCCCTTACGGCTGACCTCGATGCCACCACGCAGTCGATCACCACAATGCCCATCAATCCTGACGTCGTCCCACACTCTTCCACTTGTGGGACGCAAGAAGGTGACCGACAAAGCGTTGAAAGCGTCAGCGCCTAAATCGCAAACTGAAACTTCAGATTGCGCGTATCACTCGACAAGCCCCGGAATACGCCCACACTCTCACGAGAAACAAGTGGAGGAATTTAGTAGTCGTCTTGCCGGCACCCTGAGTACTGCTAAGACATGGAACATTCTCCGAGCACTTATAGACCGGCAAAAAAGGCACAGACACAAAAACGATTGCATGTCCTCACTCATTCGTTTATAAACTCGCCTGAACGCCTCCTGTATGAATTAAAGGCACGTTATATTCCTTCGGGAGTGAGTCTCCAGTATCACTCGTACCCATACGACATAGATTCGCTCAGTGCCCTAGATGCCGAAGTCAAAATTCGAGAGGTCCGCTCCATGTTAGAAGATGTCCGCAGGAATTCATCGCCCGGTACTAAACACATCCCGTACACGACCCTTCGATATCTCAACCACGTAGATCTTACGCACCAGGTGGACACGTTTGACGAGCACTGGCAGAACGGCACGCTACCCCAAGCAGGGCGACATGCGGAAATTTCCCTCATCCCGAAACCAGGGAAACCAATATCCGTCGAAGATTTACGACCGATTTTCCTTACGTCATGTATAGGCAAGCTCATTGAACATGTTGTCCTGCAGCACTTGCATCCATTGCTCGAGAGCCAGTATTTCTTCTCGCATACGCATTTTGGACTTCGCTCGCGCTTGCCCAAGCAAGATGTGTTGCTCCAGTTGAAAGAGCAGGTCTTGGGTCCGTGGCGGGGTGTTCAAACCCACGCTTTATTTTCGCTGGACTTTAAGTCGGCCTTCGACAATGTGGAGCACGACGTTATTTCCAGCAACCTCGCCGAATCGCGCTGCAGCGTTCACATTTATAACTATGTCGGAGCCTTTCTTCGTGATCGCACTGCAAAAATTGGTATAGGCCCACATCGCTTGAGTATCATCTACCTCCCAGGCAGAGGCACCCCTTAGGAAGCTGTGATTTCACCAGCATTATTCAATATCGCTACGTTAGGTCTCCCTAACCTACTTGATCAAACTTAGGACCTCCACCATGCCATCTATGCCGACGATATCACGCTGTGGACGTTTCGGGGTTCCGACGGTGAAATACAAGACCGGCTTCAACAAGCGGTAGAGGTCGTGTCAGACTATGCTTGACGGGGTGGCCTCACTTGTGCTCCAAACAAGTCTGAGCTCCTTGTCTTTCGCGGCCACCGTGAAAATCCGCCGCCCCACATCAATGGAAACGTCGAAGAAACATATATCCCGCAGGTAGAGCGAGCACGCATCCTTGGACATTACGTTGAAGCAGATGGCAGGGCACGACACACCGTCTCCATGCTCTTCCGCCAGAAGGAGCAGATCGTCGCCATGCTCCAACGCGTAAATAATAGACGCTCGGTACTTGGGGAGTGGGACATGCTTTGACTAGTGGCTGCGTGCATTATAGGCCGCTTCAGTTATCACCTTTCATTTCACTGGCTGGCGCAGGGACAATATGAACGTGTGGCCACAATAATCCGTAAGCCCATGAAGGTCGCTCTGGGCGTTCCGCACTATACTTCTACGCAGCGCCTTTTGTGACTAGGAACACACAATACCATCACTGAAGTACTCAAGGCTCAGTGGATTAGTCAGCGCCAACGCCTTCGTCTCACACAAATGGGTAGACACGTACTCCACCACCTGCGTCACACAGTCTCCCCTGAACCTCCGGAAACGCAGGGTACTTCCGTGCCATTCTAAATAGCTCAAGCGCTTCGCGTACATCCTCTGCCACGCATCATGTACCCTGAGCGTAACATTGGTCTTCGGTGGTCACGGTTGAGCTACCTGACTCGCACTCTCAGTGACGTTGACGAAAATAGGGTCTACTAAACAGATGCGGCTCGTACGACAAACGAACACACAGCAGTGGTCGTAAGCGGCACTCATAAGATTGTAAGGGCAGCTTTAATATCTCTCCCATCTTCAGCCACAAATTCGGGCGAGCTCCTGGCGGTTACTATGGCGATACAGCACACCTTGTGCCTCCCCGCGGAAACGTGCTACATACTGACCAATTCGCAAGCGGCATGTCAGGCTTTTCTAACAGGTCATGGCATTCCCGAATGCTCCCATTCTATTCTTTTACGCTTATCCAAAGTTGCTTCACACAACAGTCACAGCATACACCTTCTCTAGACTCCTGGTCATGTCTCACTGTCAGGTAATGAACGCGCTCATGCAGCTGCTCGAGAACTGACCCTCCGATCGGCCTCGCACTGTGAATGCGGCCAACACCGAGCCAGGGTTCCCACTTCTCACATATCACAAAGTCACACAACATTACATACGCCAACGACACCAACCCCCACCACACTCCTTCACAAGCGAGGAGGCTGCTGCACTTCGCCAACTGCAGACCCGAAATTTTCCGAACCTCCAATTTTTGAATAAAATATACCCGACTCATACTGATGAATGTCCAGGCTGTGGCGCTATCCCCATAACCTTTCGCGTTACCGTAGAGTGCTCCGCCGCTCACTTCCCTCCCCTTCCTCCAATCCTTCGGTCCACCCGTACCCCATAGCAGTGGGAAGGCACCCTTCGGGACGGTGCTTCTGAGGTCTGCCGGGCCCTCATTCTAGGGGCTCTGGCGGTCCCAGAGGTTACCATAGGTTAGGTGTCTTGAAATAGGGGGCCGTGCCGTTTGCTTTGATTTTTCATAATAAAATGTTTTCATCATCGACAAGAGTACGGGATGAGTAAGACGAACTAGAGTGAATCTATGTTGTGCTCCACTTGCAAAGATGCGTTAGCCTCAAGTCTCCCCATGCACTGTTACGCAGGCTACTCAAGGATCTCAATAGTGGAAGAGTGCGTAAATTCTCCAGTTCTCTCTTTTGATTTCTCTGTTAAGCCTCGCTCAAACGGGCGAGGCCTCCCAGACAATTGGCCTAGAGGCTCATTATGGTGTCCTTCCCCACGGCAATCTTCAATAAAAGGCGAAAGATTGGTGTGATTAAGTGAGGAAGGACCTGAGTCGGTGAAGGAATTCTGAGATTCATTCTGAGGTGCTCAAAAACGGCTGCGGTACTTGACCAAGTGTATGCAGAAGGTATTTGTAGGATTGGGCGCTTAATCCTCAATACTTCTTATAATACTAATACCTTTCCTGCCACTTTTCTCTTTCTTTCTAACGTATACCTTTTAGTAAAGTGATGTTAAATATAGCCATGTTCTTTGTAGTTTATGCCGCCAAGTTGGTTATAAACGTATTGATCCGAGTGTGTGTTGATAAACATTCGCTTGGAGTGCTTGAATAGCGTCATGCAAGGGCGTTTCGATTTCACTATTCACGTAATTACTGTGTTTTCTCTTCTTGAACAAAAAAAGGAACACCAGGAAATTTAAACTTAAAAAGCCAGTCAACAGGCTGTGAAATGCGCAGAAAAAAATGGCAGCATACCCATGGAGTGAATGATGGAGAGTTGGGCGAAACATCTGTCTATCCATTCGTTCTTGCTTCCGTCCATGCGTGCGTCTGTGTGGCCACCCGTGCGTCCATCCACCTGTCCATGCGTGCGTCTGGTCGTGCGTGCGCACGTCCATCTGTGCGTTCATCCCTGCATTCATCCATGCATCTGCTTCTGCGTACGTCCATGCGTTCATGCGTCCGTGCAGCCATCCATGCGTCCGTCCATGCATATGTCTGTGTGTCTGTTCGTCCACCTATTCAACATTCCAAGTGCCACCATCTCGCATTTTTTCATCGTATATTCCTCATATAGAAGCACCGCCATTCAGCGCACATTCCAAGGACTGAACAAGAGGTGGCACACGCACGCTTTCCTATGGTTTGCGCTTCGTGTCTACTTCCCACCTTTTGCCACCTCGAGTTCATGGTATATAATAGTTCACTGTAATCATGACATTGCGGCCCAACGCTCGCTAAACCTTTATCAAACCAGGAAGTTACGCTCAGCGAGTATAACGTAGCAACCCTTTCTTGTCAGACAGTGCTCAATGTACATGCCAATGAATGCTCAGGGGGAATGAGAGACACGAGATTTCAGCTTTTAGTTAACGCGCACGCTGCAAAAGTTTTATTCTTCAACAACGCACAAAAGAAATCTCTCACCCGCACTTTTCTTGGAGGTCAAAATGTAAGACTTGTTACACACTACTACTACGACTACGAGGGACCAACGGGTGTTGCTATAAAGAACTTCGCCCTTGACGAGAGATCTTCACGTTCCTCTCCGAGGAGCTTTTCTTCCTCGGAAAGCACGAGTTTCTGCGGCATTGGTCATGCCCTATCGTCAAGGTGGAACACGAAAGGATACAACTCATTTTTCGACCGACTTAGTGCTAAGCAGCGCCCGTTGAGCTAAGCAGCGCCGTATGATTTTATTTGTTACATATCGTGTTTCATTGCATCTATTGTATCGTTATACCATTGTATCATGATCTCGCATTGAGTTCTTGTGTATGTATAAGCCAATATTGTCATGTACATTAGAGCAAATGTCTTCACTGTAACGTAGTGATGTTAGTCGTGAAAGATAGATGTGCCGAAGTGTATGTGCTCTGTTACTGGAATGGTATGAAGCCTTTGTGTCCTGTACATGCTGTAAATAAATTTTTTCTACACAAAAAGCTCTTCCTATAGCCAGGTCACCTGTCAATGTCTGATTAGTGCATGTAATCAGTATGTGTTTACTATTTCTGTGTGTTTGTGTAAGTCCCATATGGGTGTGAGCTCTTGTATATATGTTCTTCATTCGAACGCTGTAAGTTATGTTACTTTTATGAATATTGATACCTGTTGTACATATTTCCTAACATCTTCACCAAGTCTTGTAAATTCTGTACATATATCATCATCTAGATTGTCCATATTGTGATTATTGTACATATGTAGTGTATGTAGTTATTAGTACCATGGACTATGGACACCCTACGGACTTAGAGACTTGTTTAAATGCGTAATGTATGTTGTGCTTTGTCAATTGTTTGTTATCGTGCCTGTTGCACAGACGCTCGTCCTTTAGGTTCGTTGCGTCCCATGATAGAATAAACTTTTTCTAAACACACAAAAGCTCTCGCATCTTTCGGACGCCTGACCAACCTCCTTACACGCGCAGGAAAAATGCGCCAACTTTTTGTTTCGGAGCCTGAAGTTATATTAGAGAGGGAGAGATACTTCATTATTTTCAGCAGATTGTTGGGTTGGGCTTCCACCTAGGAGCTAACGGAAAGGCCGTGTCTCCCAACAGCTTCCTTGGCCTGCTGGATCGCCCAAAGTTGCTTGTTTAGGCTCAAACTGAGCAGCACAGTCCGTCAACGCGCCCGAAGGTCTTCGTCTGAGGCTGCGACCCGAAAATTTCTCACTAACTCAAGAAATTTTCCTAGGATATGGTGAAGGGGGGCTCTCGTGTTACAATACTGGCATAGTTAATAACTACAGACGTTGTAATATATGTGGTGCATGATGACGGGGTTCGTGTTAGCGCGTGCTTGTAGCTGCCGCCACTGAACGGACTGGGCCCGATTCAGCTTGGGGATGCGGGGGGTACTCCCGCTTTTGCAGTCGATAGTGTTAAGTCATGTCATTGAATTTAGTGAGCCGGTCCTCCCATCTCACACCAGTGCAGAAAGGTCCGTTTGAGTTGCCGCTTCTCCTGACGCGACTCAGAACGTAATACCTTGAGCCAAATTGTGCGCCATTTCATTCGCACTGTACTCCGGGTTACCTAGTATTGTGTGGGCAGGATACCACAGGATGTGCACGTATTTGTCCACCTCGTGTATTTTGCCTGTATTAACCCCGGTATTGAGAAACGCTCCTCGACACGACTTTCACCCTTCACTTGACAGAGTTGAGCACTGCATCGCTGCTCGGCTGAAAATGATGCAGCGCTATTCAAGAATCGCAGCAGATTATCGCTGATATGCAGTGACTTGCCCTGCCTAGAGACGGTGCTCCCATCGACTTTCTCAAGTGAAGGTGAGCGTTGAGTCAAGGGACGTTCTAGAATACTGGGAAGAATCCGCAATGTCTCGGAGAGATTCTGCCGCTGGCGTAGTTTCGAACGGCTGTCTGCGAGTCGTTGATTACACAAAAAGCGTTAGTGTGAGCTACGGCCATCGCGATTGCCACTTCCTCTCCCGTTTCTACGTTCAATGTGATGATTGACGCGCTGCCTATGCATTGTTGTGTGTGGTCTACGACAGCAGCCGCGAAGCGGTGATGTTCCTGGTAGAGTGCTGCATCGACATAGATCGCGTCATGGTTGCGCCCCAACATCTTCGAAATCACTCTGGATCTACTGGCACGTCTGCCCCTGTCGTGTTCAGGGTGCATGTTTCTTGGTATGGGTAATACTGTGCTTGGTACGGATACTGCGTGGTATGTCGTGTTTGTTTCCACGTTGAATGTGGTGAGAAATGCCGAGACTACATAGAATCTGACGGCCTCGTTTAGTCTTGGCTAATCGCTCGAATCGGGAAATTTGTTGCACCCCAATATGTTCCTTAAGGGTATTCTGTAAACCAAGTTAAAGTAGGCACCGCGCCACGGTGGTCTTGTGGCTAACGTGCTCGGCCGCTGACCCGCAAGTCGCGGGATCGAATTCCGGCTGTGACGGATGCATTTCCAATGGAGGCGGAATTCTTGTAGGCCCGTGTGCTCAGATTTGGGTCACGTAAAAGAACCCCAGGTGGTCGAAACTTCCGCAGCTCTCCACTACGGCATCTCTCATAATCATATGGTGGTTTAGCGACGTTAAACCCCACATATCAATCATATCAATCAAGTAAAATTAGAAATTCGGTGCTGTTGTTTTGAGGCAAGCCTAGCGCTTGTTTGTGAATTTTCCTAATTCTGCTGTTGGGATTTGGCTTTCCTGCAGTGAACTATAGGTGGTACGCTGCAGTATAGGTAATGCGACTTACAATGATTGTATCAGACGGATGATGCTAACCACTTTCATGCATTTTTGTTTATTGGTAATGGGTCTAATGAGGCACATCGGGTTAGACACTCTAGCTTCAATGTTGCGAACTGTCCCTCCGATGGTGCCCTTACTTTTTATGATGAGACCTATGTTACGACTGTCATCATTATTAAAGTTTTTCGGCCTTTGTGAACGGAACGAAAATACTTCGATGCACACCAAGTAGGGGGGGGGGGGGGGCGTCAAGACGGATTAATTTCCTCTCAGCAAAACCTGAACTAGGGGTTCGGGACTGGTTCGCGCAGAGAAAACACACGAGCCAAGAGATGCCATTGTGATCTCGACTCAAGAAAGGCCATTGTGTTTGCTGAGAGCAAGGCTTTCGAGGCAGACAAGGAGGCAGCTGGACCATTTCCGAGGTCACCGAGGATCTGTAAATCTTGGAACCAGCATGGTATTTGCAGTTCAGGCTGCAAGCTAAAGCTAAATTGGTTGTGGCAGCATCTTGCGAGTTCAAGCAGAGCCCCGGGATATGTGCAGCTAAGCCACAGCTTCTAGCAAACAACCAGGAATAGAATTTGTGGGTGAAGAAAAAAATAATGCACTATGTGCTGAAGCCCTTCCGGGAGCCCGCCTCGAAGACGAGGGATTAGTCGACCACTCCTCCTTCCCCCTTTCTCCATAGGATCGGCTGAATGGGGTGGCATATTTTGACGATATGCGGGCCCACCACTACATTGTCCTACCCAAACAGTCAGGTAAATTTGACACGTGTATTGGCAGCCGGTTTTTCGAACCTCACGCAGCTTCCAGAAGAATCTTGGAAGCCAAAATCATCAGACGTGCGCGAAACTTGGTGACGTGTGCGAAAACGTCGGTGCAGTGCTTTGGTGACCATATTTGGGCATCATGCGGACTGTGCTCCCTCCGCATGCATTGTGTGGTGTCTTTCCTCTCCTTCGTAGGTGGAGCACCTAGACCATGGAGCGCCCTATTGGCGCAAGCCGCGGACAATGTGCCCAGGGTTGGCAACGAGGCCCTATATAAGCCGAAGACTTTCGTGTATTTGAATCTCTACAGTTCAACA